ATCAATCAAAGTAGATAGTAATATGACGTAAGATTCAATATATATTTTGTCATAAAATAGAAGAATTTTATCTAGTAATTGCTTTAAAATTGTGATGGGTTTCATCAAATATTTGATTTTGAAATAATATATTGCATATAAAATAATTCTAATAATTGATAAATAATATAAAAAGATATTTTTATTAATACTCGTGAGGGAAATTTATTATCCCTTTCGAATCTTATGTTATTTCTCTGAATTTCTCATCTCCGCATGCTTCCGAGATGAAATTCAGTAACAAATCGCTCGCATCGATAAAAATACACTGGGCCTTAGGTTGTATTGGACGATAATCGATTGAATAATTTTTATTTATTTAGATTAAAATTTTATTTATTTAAATTAAAATTTTATTTTTATATTATATAAAGTCTATATTTTTAAGTAATTAAATTTTGTAATATTTACGATAAAAGTGTCTTTGAATCAAAACGCTTATTAACATTATAAAGATTTTTTCAAATTTATATTTATTTTTAATTAAATAGAAATTTTAATTTATAATTTTATAATTAGATACATATTTCTAATTGTGAATAAACGCGAGTAAAGAATAGACGCAAAATTTATTTATATGTCAATAGAATTATTATATTTTTAACAATTGTTTGTTTTCATATTTAACTGATTTCATTATTCATGTGATGGTCCTTTCGCGACGCGTTCGTGTTTCGCGCATCGTACAGAAGCGTAAAAGCTTATGCTTATTGCCAGCGATGATTACAGCTGGTAGCAAAAAGGAGTATTTCTCCTTGTTGTCGATTTCTGGCATATGGAGTCAGAATATAAGGCCAGGAGCAACGAAAGGTGGGTTCAATCTGGCCAGAAGAAAGAAGACAAAGAAGATCTGTGTAAGGTTGAAGGTATAAAGGTTGGTGTGTATCACCAATCAAAATTTCAAAGGTAATAGTAAACTAAATATTTGGGAGGGTAATTACTTTCGGGAGGGCAAATTTGCTCGCAAATCGCGAGTTTTTTTATTTTTTAAATTGTTGATTATTTATTTAATATGATTGCGATTAGGTTATTTCGCTGATTTACCGGAATATCATAGGACGTGGTTAGACACTGCTGTGTTCCACACAGCAGATGTATCTAAAATACATCATAGATATCCTAAAGTTATACTTATTGGAATATGTGATATATTTAGCATATAAAGAATCTACTCGTATATAAATATGATATGATATAGAGGATCTATATAAGGGGTTGATGGTAGATTGGTGTGTGTAACACCAATCAAAGTTTAAAAAAAATATACATATAAAAGTAAGCTAACCCTGGTGAAAATTTTTCTCAGAATTTTCTATATAATTTTTCAGAATTTCTCTATAATTTTATAACTTTCTCATATTTTTTATACAAAACAGAACATTTCTTAGAAAATCTACATCTTTTCTCAGCATTTTTCGTTTATGTTAATTATGAAATATCGTAAAACTTTTAAGATATTTTGTAAGTATAATTTCTGATAAAATGTTATAAATTTTAAAAAATTAAAAAAAATTTTTTTTTATTTATGGGATGAGAAATTTCAGAATATTTCAGAATTTATTTATATAAAAAATTCTGAGAGAAGATGTAAACTTTTCGAATATTTCTAAGTATTTCTGAAAAATGTTCCAATTCGTATAAAAATTATGAGAAAAATTTTCACCAGAGAAATATTTGGAAGGATAATTTGTTTTCTTACTTTTTAAATTGTTTATTTATTTTGTATGGTAGTTTGGTATGTAATACCAATTAAAGTATACAAGGTACATAAGGATAAGCCTATAAGGTTTCCCTGCATACATGCGGTTATGTATGTAATCGGAAATTTAAATTCCAATTAAATCACAAATTTGCTTAAATAAAACTCTCTATAATAAAATGATAATTTAATTCCCATAAATTAAATCCTCCTAATAATTAATCACATTTTTCTGCATAAATTAAGTTGTTCATAAAATCTTCGAACGGTCGCTATGTAAATTTAAATGCGCGTTTCTAATTTCGCGTAATCCCGATCGAAACTAAATTAAAATATATTAGATAAAAAAGGTACAAGTAGATAGAAACAATTAGATAAAATCAGATAGATAGGAAATAAGAATACGGTAAATAGGAATATGGGGGTAAAATTTTCGATAATAAAGAAACTTAATTTTATAATTTTAAGAAATTTTGAAAACAAAAAATAAGAATACAGATAGATAGGGATATGATTAATTAAAGAGGGGAGAGCATAACTGCTATAAATAATGGAATACAAATTAATTGTATGATTTTAAAAAATTTATTTATTTACAATGCGGATTGTATATATTTGTATAGAAGTTTGTTTACGTGGAAAAATACAAGATTAGGAATTAGGTATAAATTATTGTATCGCAAAAATTATTAATATTATATAAAATTATGTATAAACGTATTATGTAAAATTATGTATTATCTTATATTTGTGAATTAAAATGCACGCATTTTGAACTTATATTTTATTTGTAACATTTTGTTAATATAATATTATCTTATAATAAAAATATAAGATAATATTATAATTGTATATTATATTGTATTACATGTATTATATATTATTTTAAGTTAATACACGAATATTTGTTACATTTGTTAAATAAAATTGTAATTGTATATTGTATATAATTTTCTATTGTAAAATAAATTATAAAAAAATAATAAATAATAAAACTTTTTTAAGTACCGTCAAATGGGATGACTTTGATCTAGTCGGAATAATGTTGAACTCAAAAATTTCAGGAATATATAATAGCATGCATGTCCAAAATTAGAACGTAAAGCATTTTAAAACGTTTTTAAGAAGTATTTAAAATGCTTTATATTCTGATTCTGTGGTGTTTGTATATTATCAAAATTTGGAACAAAATTATCCCATTTTACAGTATGTATATAAATAAAAGATGACCATTGATTATAATTGACGAGGGTGGTGGAAGGCCTCTACAGATTGACTCGGTTTTTCTTCGTTGAAACTCTATTTCAAGTTGAGAATATGTAGCTAGTTTCTGTGGGAAAAACGAGACACTCTGCATTAAAAAAAAACCATTATTTTTATATATAGATATTGTCTAATTGCGTATGGAAGAAAATTTACTAAAATAATATGTGTTTGTTTAATATTCATCTTTAAGTTTCAGATTCAGCAGTTTCTATTTTCAATGGAGAAAATAAGAACAAAAAAAATCACAACATTTTTTTCTAGTAATTTAATCTTATAATTTATTTTATTTATTAAAATTAAAGATAAAGCTTACTTTTTAATTACTGATGTCATAACAATTAATTAAATTATTAATTACTACTTTACTTATTTTTGTGTTTTTATGTATTATATCATACATTGCAAATTAATATATCAATTTTTTTAGATCATCCAATCAGTATTTTAGATCTAGAAAAATATACTTCAATAGCAGTTGAGTCCGTTGAACGTAAGCATTAATGCGCCCATTGATGTTATGTTGATAGCCAATCATAGCTATTCTTCTGAAGAATGGACTGTGATTGGCCAGTTTCATAACATCGATGTAAATCATATAGCATTATCGACCCGAACGGATTTGCTCCCATTTGGATTGGATTATGTTCTACTATTGGTTGACGTTACATATTTCACCAATAGAAGAGCATACAACGTCATTAATCCAACCTAGGTTCTTACAAATCCGCTCGGGTTGAACACGCATCAATACTATTAAAGACCGATAAAAGACATCCTTTCTCGTTCCTGTGAATATTGAAGTAATTAAGAGTTAAAAACTGATGTACTAATTTTATGATTTATTAGTTTAGTAGATGTATTTATGCATTTAAAACTCAATAATACTCAATTTTTCTGTAAAATTGTAATTTCAGTGTTATCGTTAAAGCTTGATTATCAACAGAGATGATAACTGCAGAGAAAAAATTATAATTTTTCTGCAATATATAGGATATTGCAGCTTTACAAGTATGCATATTTGTTTATAGAACATTTATGTAATAAAAAATCATAAATTTAATAATGTATGAGCCAAATATTTTTGTTAATAATAGCAAATTTATATCATTGTTGATAATGTCAGGGTTCTTCAATTACCTCCGAGCCCTTTTTATACCGTCGAAAATTTGCCCAGAGTCGACGGTCTTTAATAGTATCTCGTCGGTGTCATACTAACGATTGGAGATTCCGTTTGCGTTCACGTTTGCATCCCTTGAATGAAAACGAACCTGCTCAACAGGTTCTTTTCGATTGGTCAAAAGACGCAAATGCGAACACAGACGCAATCTTCAATCGCTAGTGCGATACCGGCATAAATGATAGTTCGGTGGCGCCTCTACCGAGTCGCAGCTGCAGTGAGCCAGTCAGCGTCGGTGTACGTAAAATGGCGGACGGTGACATTGATTTGTACGCCGACGATCTCGAGCAAGATTTCGCGCAGGTAATTCGCATTTCTCTTTGATAATAATAAAAGGGACAGGAACGCGTACTCTTTATCCCCGTATGCTCGAAGAACATAGAGAAACGGTCTGCGTATTTTCATATCTATGTTAAGTTTGCAACGCTCGCTAACGCGCCGCGCCATAACGTACCGCGTCACCCTACGCCTTGTTGCAACTGTGTACGAGCGATTATCGTTTCGCGTTTATTCCGTACGTATCGGGAAACAAAGCTGAGTGGTGTCGGCATCGTAGTGTACGTGCGGCCATTGCTAACGAATCGATTCGCGCCATTGATTTCTCATCGTGAACATTACATACTGTGTGATCCCTGCCGCTTGTTATCGAACCGGCGCGGTAAGAGACAGCGAGAGAGGCTACTCTGAGGAGAAACTTACGAGCGATCGCGTGCGCGCGCGCGCGCGCGAACGAACGAACGGACGGACGGATGAACGAATGAACGAATAAACCGACTAGTTCGCAAACATACGAGATAAGCTTCATTCCAATAGTGTTACCTCTTTCTTGTTATCGCGTAGTTAACCGATCGCCTGTATAGCTAGTGCCTGTCTGCTGCCGTCGATCGCGCGCGCGATACCCGTTGCCGGAGCTAAGCTAAAACAGTAATACGGGTTCGCAACAGGAATCGACCGCAAAATGGTGCTAGCGGTAAGGCGAATATCGTGTAGTTTACTCTTTTATGTTTTCCCTCTCTCTCCTTCCGTTTCTCTCTTTTCCTCTTCCTTCGATTTTTTTTGTGATTTATACATACACGCACATCACTGTACACAAATTCACATACATACAACACGTACATATATTACGACGTATCGCACTGCATGCGAGATTATATTTTCTTTGCAGTTTCTATAACAATTTTATTTTCCATTCTTGAATATATTTTTCCTTTTGCGAAAAAAACGCTGTATTAGAATATCGCGGCAGAAATTGAAATCTATGTAATTTCATATAGATTTTTATTGTTAAGAACTTGAATCGCAAGGGATTGAATCTTTATCAATCCTTGCAAGATAAAATATTGTATACAATTTTTATAGAAGTGAGAAAATTCAATAGCGACATTTGTTGTAAAACATATATAAAGTGTGAGTTCAGAATTAAATGTACTTTTAATTTCTATTTTTTTTAATAGTGTTTATTTTATTTATTATATTTGAAATAAAATAAATATAATTACGTGTTGCAGAAAGAAACAAATGTAAAGAATAATTGAATGCAGTGTGTTGCATAAACCTTGCACATCCGCTGCACCAAAGTCTGAACTGAAATTGAAATTACAGTGAGTTCAATCTCTGCTCCATCGTATCTTCACAATGCAAAAAGTCTGTATATCTGCATATCTGTTACAGTCGAAGTGTACGATTGGTTGATCGGTTGAACCACAGGGTGCGCAAGAAGTTGAGTGTAATAAGAAAATGGTACATCTAACGATTTTTTACATATTGATGTAATTTATTTTTCATGAATTAATATGTATATGTATATGTATATATATATATATATATTGGGTTCTTACATAAGTGTCTTGAGATCATGCTGTTATATCGAGCGTTATTTTAAATTTGAGGAATTTTCAAATGTAATTGTTTTAAATTGGCATTACTTGATTCTTATATTATTTTATGATTCCTGCTTGTCGTATTTAATGCTCAAATAACAAGATGATTTCAATACGTTGTTATAAATTTGACGATGCATTTCTTTTTTTCAAAGAAATATTTTCTAATAAGAAACATTTAATGAAATATTTAATTAAGCTTCTCTTGGGCAAACACAACAATTATACATAGCTTGAACAATGATCATCATAAAGAAATAAGCATAGACTAATAATATTTGTATTGTATTGTATTGTACTTTCTGATCTGTATTTTCTAGAATTCTTTTGCACTTTGACTGTAACATATTTGATACATGTGTGTGCGTGTATTAAATAAATATTGTAAAATTCATTTCATATATCATTTGTTGATTAGTCTGCTTATCATTTAAAATACAATCAAAATTGTTTAATATCATTATAACATTATGCGTTTCTTCCAACATAATACAATTTAAATGGTTCATTGTACTTTTATTACTATTGTGCTCGTTCATATATCTGTTTCAGGACGAATTTGCTGGAGACGGCGTTGATCTTTATGATGACGTAATTGCCGCTCCAGCAGGTGGTAATGGCGGCGTCTCTTCTGGGAATAGTGGAGAAGGTGGTGGTGACACCACATCACCAAGTGAAGAAACCAATGGCAACGCGCCTTATCATCAACTTGGCAATAATATACAACCAAATCAAATTGGTAGACGACACCAATTATATGTTGGCAATTTGACATGGGTATATACATGGCACGAATTTAATTTCAACATTTTAAAGATTTCTTCTTTTCCTATCATTTATAATGTAATGTTTACTTTCAGTGTGTAATATAAAGAAAACTCTTATAATAATATATTATATGACAAAAGAACTACATGTAGATATGACACATTTTGTTTGATTAATATTTTTCATACTTTAATATATTTTCTTCTGTTTTCTTATATCTATGGTGCTCTGCAATGTAAACAAAGTCTTTTTTATATTTCTATTACACAATATTTAAGTTTTAATAAAATTTTAATAAAATGTTTTTTGCTTTTTTGATTAAAAAGTTTCTTGTTTAATATTTTACTTTTTTTATTGAAAATTAATAACAAATTGTATTTTTTTAGTGGACAAGTGATCAAGATATAACTGATGCTGTTCAAAGTATCGGTGTGACTGACTTTGCAGAGGTAAAATTCTTCGAGAATCGTGCCAATGGTCAGTCTAAAGGTTTCTGCGTAATATCCTTGGGTTCAGAGCAAAGTATGAGAATATGCATGGAAAGGCTGCCCAAGAAAGAATTGCACGGACAAAATCCTGTAGTAACTTTCCCTACCAAGCAAGCTCTCAATCAAGTATGTATCATTGTGCATTGTGATGTAAAAAGAAAGTACATAAATTACTGTCGCAGCATATATATAAATAGCAGGGAGTGGAAATATAACATCGTTATTTTTACTGTTATTTTTAACAATTTGATAATGACGTTGTAATTTTTTATGATTGTAACGTTAACTAACTAAACTAAAGTTGTGCTAAAGTTAGAAATGTTATTTTGAAGGAAAAGTAACTCATCATCACTATACGTTATATACTGAATAAAGTAATTTGTTACTTGTAACTCATCGACGCAACATTACTTTAATCATTACGAGTAACGAGTAAAAGTAACTCGTCACAAATAACAAGTTATTTTTTCTAGTAACGAGTGACTTTTCCAATCTATTACTAGTAACGATTAACTTTTCTTTGTTATCATTATTGCCATAAAAAATTCGCAATGGCATTACCATATAGAGCAAGATAACGATAAAAAGTAACAAGTAACATTTCTACTTCTTGACAAATATAGTACGCTACGATATTCATAATAGCGGGTACACGTGAAACTTCACAACAATCTTTTTTTTATGTGTTCTCAGTTTGAGTCACAGTGTAAGACGCGACCTGCTCCGGCTCCGCAACAGAGTCAGAGCCAACGTCCTCATAACCCACATCAACATCAGCCACCAATGCCACCTCATCAACAGCATCCCCAACACCCTCAACATCCTCAACATTCACAACAAAATCATGGTCCTCGAATGATGATGGGTCCTCCGCAGGGTGTAAGACCACAAAGGATGCCGCCACCTGGAATGGGCCCACCAGGACCTGGTGGACCAGGTCAGCAAGTTCCACCACGTATGCATGGTCCGCCATTAGGGCCAGGACCAGGCCCGCATCATCCGTTGCCGGGCCATCCTAATCAAGGCCCACCACCTGGCTATCAGCAAGGACCTTGGAATGGACCTCGTCCGAATGGTCCTCCAGGACCACCTCGAGGACCTAGTGGACCAGGTGGCCCCCCTCAGCAGGGTCCACCTGGACCAGGCCCTGGCCAGCATAGACCTCCGGGAATGGTATGTATCATATGCAGATTTTTCTATACTCTTTAACAGACAAAATATGTTTTGAACATGCATTGGACTATTGTCATTTTATTTAGCATTGTGCTTAATTATAAATGCAATTAAATTTCATGAAGTTACACTTCGGGCGCGTTTAAATTTCCTCATATTAATATAAAAGCATCTTGAAGCATATGCACTAAACATTGTAACAAAGGTATAGACATAAAATATGAATTTTATTAACTCTTTTTAAAGATTCGCTTAAAAAATATGGAATGTTACCTCTGATAAAAACCTATTTTAAAAACATAAATATAAATTTAGAAATGTGTAAACTTATAAATATATCAAAATGTATTGTTACGCCTGGGAATCAAACTCGTAATCTCACAATCTTGTTCGCGCTCGCGTTGCATTCGCGCACTTCCGAACTCGTAGAAATAAAAGAACACATTTATAAACGAAACTGTCTCTTTAATAACGTATATAGAAATAAAGCAGAATTGAGTATGAGTCAACAGTTCATCCGAGACTCAGCTCGCCCTTAGACAAAACGATGACGTGTTACTTCAGAAACTCGTTTGTTATTCTTTCTATTGGCTCAATCATAAATTACAAAACGACAAAACAAATGTTTCGACTCCGCTCGAGTCATTTTCAATGTTGCGGTAATATTAAAACATCACTATAAAAATATCTATGGTATTACATTCTTCATATCGTGTAGTGCCTTGCGAATCAGTTGTATCAGAATTCAAAGTAGTCAAAAAAACATTCTAGAAACGTGACCGTGAATAAAACATTAATACTTGATACATGCGAATTAATGATATATATACACACACACACACACACACACACACACACAATATATATATATATATATATAAAATATAATCATACCTTATCAATATCGGTAAAAGTGTTGAGAGTCCATTAATAAAAAAGAGAGAAAACGTAGGTAGATAATCCATATCACACAATAGTTTTTTTTTTTTATTTTTTGAAGCAAATTTGCAAGAGTAGCGAACATCTGACGTCCACAATATCGAATAATGCAATGTCGAAAAAGAAAACAGTAATCGAGAACGAAAAACGGCAAAAAGGGGAGGGGGGAAGAAAAATATTAGGAAGGAGAAAGAGAATGTATAATACCAGAATACTCTTCGGGCAAAGACTCCGTGTTATTTTGTCTGTTTATTTCATGTTTCTGTTTTTTAATGTGTACCATTTCAGATATTAATCTTTTATTATATGAAAGTTCTATATCTAATATGTCCACTTTATCCCATTTAAAATTGTGATTCTCCTCCATACAGTGGTTAGAGATTACCGATGGAGATTTTGAACTTATATTAATATCTAAAACATGTTCATGCAGTCTAGTCTTTAACTGTCTTTTGGTCTGGCCAACTAACATCACAACTCTCACAGGATATTCTGTAAACACATTTTGATTATGTACATGTTCCAGCCTATCCTTTCCTCTCTTTATACAATTTTTTAATGTGTTAGGGATGGTAAAGGCCAATTTACAATTAAACATATTAACGATAGGTGTGAATCTTTCAGATATTGTATTAACGTATGGAA